ATTCTCATTTGACTATTCGTGTAACTGGAATGAATATTAAAACATATATTTAACCCAGATTTGATGTAATACTTCTAAGAAATCATCATCTTTTGAGGAGGTTACCAATATTTGAAGACTGAGCCAAAGTAGTGTTTATTAAGATGTTGGTTTTGGACAAATTTTTCAAGGTTTGTTGATGGTTATTTCGAAAATGAGCTTCATATTTAATTGCACACTGGTTTGCAGGTAGTGAAAGCTTCAGGACATTTTCATATGTGTTTTCTAAACTTTTGTTATGACTTTTACCAAATTGTTAATATCTCTGAAGAAAAAGCAGTACATTTGTATATTGTGTAACATTCTATTTCAATCCTAGTTAATTGTTTGGATACCTGTGATCCTTCTTTGTGTTATGGTGGTGTGACATACCTAAATGCTGGCAGTTCATGAAGTCCAGTACTGTGGCGGTTTGTAAATTAGAATTCTACAAAAAAAATATACACAGAAAAATAAATTTGAAAAAATTATTTAAAAAATGGATTTCCTTATATTCAGTGTCATTTTAGGATGTTGTTCAGATTTTGAAGAGGGAAATTTACTGGGTATTGCTGTAGATCAGCTGCTGAATATTGGCTTCTGGGTATGTCCAGGTACATCCATGGAAACATACTCACCTTTTCCATATTTCCAAATAAGATCAAATAGGTTATGCTGTGATTGATTTGTTAACATTAAGATATACAGACAAATAAGGTGGACGAAGTAGGAGAAGGGAAATATTTTTTCTTCTTTGTTCGTTAAAAGGTAGAAACCCATGTTTTCACGTTATTGATTTAACTAAATTTGAACAACAAATAAATAAAGGTGCCACATACGCGCAGTGTTGACAATCTATTTATAGATACCGAAACGATCTGCAACTTGAACATGTGGTTGTGTTCATGCTTTTTATAAAATATGATAGGTATTTTTGAGGAAACCCCCAAAAACATAATTCCATTACCCTTTCCCTGCTAATACCTTAGACGGACGTGAATTGCTAGATAGATTATTTAGTTGAAAGAAAATACGCTTCCCACTCTCAGCAGCTGGCCCAGATGATTTTTCATCGGGCATGTAACTCTTTTTCACTCGCCAATTAAAATCTGTCAACTAAATTATATTAAAAATAAAGTATGTATAACATTCCTCTTTAAATATCATTCACAAACGACGGATACCAAAGTACAACAAGCAGAATTCATCAACAACGTTCTCAATCACGTACTGTTTGCCGCCAGTAATGCCATTGTGATCATTCAGTGGTTGTCCCCCCTAACGTCAGAAACGAAGTGGGCGGGGTTCATCGGTCGGGACTGGATCGGTCTGTTGTGGATTGAAGACCACTGAAGAGTAGATCGCTGATCCCAGGAAAAACACAGAGCCCAAGTTGAAAGCAGAAGAGGAAGGGATCACCGATCCCGGCAGGCTCGCTGCCTGCATGCTGAAAGTGGTCGTATGATGGATCACTGATTCCAGGAAGATGGTCACTTATGCATTGAAGACTGTAGAAGAGTTGGCCAAACCTGGGAGATTCGCAGATCCTGGAAAAGTCGTTGAAGAAGGTGGGATCACTGATCCGGAGTGAGGACATGTTATTTTTGCTTTCCCTTTTTGACTGTCAGAAGAACTTTTCTTCAGCTGATCCTCACCCGCTGTGTGTAGACTGTCTAGGTTTGTGCTTGGACTAAGATGTGTGAGTTTTGTTCCCACCTTTATGATGATGACTTCACAGCCTACTGTAGGGTTGGTTCACAGCGGGTTGCTGATAGAGACAGAAAGAATGTTGAAGAAAATGGTCCACCTGCCCCAAGAAATCCCGGCAAGACAGGCTGTTTAAGAAGGCGCATAGGCTGTCACATTCATCTGATCAAGATAGTTCTCCGGATTCATATCTGAGGGAGAATTTACGGCGCCTTTTTCATCTGTCAGACCCTACCTCTAGTCCTCCAGAGACTAGACCGACAGTTGCTTGAAGAGTAGTCGTTGTATGCAGCTCTGCATATCTTCACCATAAACTGATTTCATCTCCTTGTGAATCTGTTGGGCAGTGCAACCCTTCAAGTGCAAAAACATGATAACACTGCATGCCTCAATCCTAATAGTAATGGTGGCTTTGTACACGTTGGTCCAACAGTGGGCCAACATTTGAAAAACTCTGCCTATATTTACTGATCTTATATCTCTTTCACAAAGTTAGTTCAATGTTGGCCCAACATTCTGAATAAAAGAGTGAGCACACGGCCAATTTTAGCCATGTTTTCGTATTAAGATTTTGTTGAAAGTTGAACTAATTACACAGAACAAATGAAAGAATCTATATTTCCCTGTCTTTCAACTATGATGCAGTGAATTTTACAGCCTTGTTTTCTGATTGAGTAGATAAAAGAATTAATTGACTTTTTTTTTTGGTAGCCTGTTTTAACCACTTTGATCAATCTTATCATTTCATTGTAAATTATTTGAATTTATTGTGTTTACTTTATTAACTTTATGTGTCTGTCAGTTACACTCCTGTTTCCATATACAGTGGAAGCTCTGGAAACTGGCAGCCCTCCAATCTGGCAGGCTCTCAATATCGGCACTAGAATTACGTCCCGGCAGAAGCTAGTCAATTCATGATCATTTACACACCCTCTAATCCGGCGTCAGTCTATTCCCTATTTCGGCACAACAAAGACCGCCCAATTAACTGTTTGTAAACTAATTAACGTTCTCTAAACCGGCATCCGGTATCTCAGCTCCCCTGTTGATTGGCTGATTGGCTGAATGTGTATTAACAGCGCAATGAATTACCATCAGATTAAGCTCATTAATGTTGCCTGATAAAAGGAGTATGGATAAGGATTAGGCAAATTAGTGAGTGACACGTGTCGCTTGTATTATAAATTATTGAAAACAGTAAATTTGACAAAATTAACACACTGACGCATGATTGGTTTTTGACTGCCCGTAGTAATAACATGCCCATTTCTGGCCCTATTTTGAAAGAGAAAGCTGAAAGGCATCAGATGGTTTGCTGGCACGTTGGAAGACTCAATACCGCATAAGACCCTATTCAAGAATTAATGATTAAAGAATATGATGACTATCAACACATTGTTCAGTCGTATCTTATGGCATATGGAAGATCATTCTCAGGTTGAAAAGGGGAAAGTTCTCTAAATTGAGATGCACTCTATTCCGGCATTCTTTGCCAGTTTAGAGGACTTCCACTGTACAACTCTCTCTATTATTCATCTATACAACCAATAATTGCCAGGCATCATCATACCAGATATATGTGTCACAGTTATATTTTGTTACACGTCATATCAAAATAAAAAATTGTTTTTATCGGCATTCTAGAAGTTGGTGAGTCAAATAAAACATAACGTTAAATACTATGTCTTTTACAATAGTTTTCATGTCTAAAATTATGATAACTGACAGTTTGATGATGGAAGTTAATTGTCAATGACAACTGTTAAGGGTGAAGCATCACTGTTTTCAGCGGCATCAAATGCTTAAATAGAGCCAGTCATGAAGGATTGGCTCCGGTATGCCAAAGATCAGCAAGGAATGCCAAAGATCAGCAAGGAATGCCAAAGATCAGCAAGGAGGTGAAAGGACAGACGAAAGACCAAAGAGAAGCATTTCGGGGGGATATACAATACTGTTCAAATAACAAAAATGAAAAAAAAAAATAGTTCACTTGATTAACTTGTTTTGTTGTTTATATGTTTCTGATTGCAGAGGTCAGGAAAGAGCTAAATGTTGAAACATGGTGGTGCCAACATAAGGCCAACTAAATCACTTCATTGGGCCAAGTATAGGCCATGGTTTAGTACAAAGGTCAAGAAAGAGCTAAATGTTGAAACACAGTGGTGCCAACATAAGGCCAACAAAATCACTATGTTGGGCCAAGTATGGGCCATGGTATAGTGTGAATTTCCATTTGCTGTCCCAACACTGAGCCACCATGATGGGCCACTGTGGAGCCAAGGAGCATATCCAAGTGGGCCCATCGTCAGTTTGACAACCATGGGCCAACCAAACCGGTTATTATGGGCCAACTATGGTCCAACATATCAATGCTATCTGGGATAGAGTTATGTGTCTTGGAGCGCTCTTTACGAATATCCCATGCACAACTTGTGATTGAAACCAGTTTGGCAAACACCGACAACAGTGCGTGTGACAGTTTTCGATATACAGAGCAATTGTTTACATTCCACATATAGCAAGTGTTCTCTGTTCGGAAGCTGTTTGCCTCGAAGTTTCAATTATTGATTTCAGGCAAGTCGTAAGGGATAATATGTCCTATATTGCATCAATAGGAAGCTAAAGTGAGTGCATATGCCCCGATATATATAATATAGGCCAAAATATTGAAAATGTGTGACATTGTGCCTTTAACAAACATGTATGAACATTCTTCAAAAATGTTTGTTTCATTCTTACAGAGGTCACCATGCCTCAGAAACTGACAATGGCATAACAATGTTATTCAAAAACCTGAATACTGACAAAACCTGATAAAATTTTCAAAGAAAGGAGCCATCCTTGAGAAGTTATATGTAAAGTTTAATGAAAAGGGCGTTACTATTTTTTTTGTAAAATGTAACAACAAACTTTTCCGTAATTATTTTCATCTTGTAACCTTGACCTTTGACCATTTCATGTCACACGCCAAGAGAATTTCAAACATGAAAGAAGTTGATGAAAAAATAGAAAAATAACTGCCTGTCAAGACTGTGGTCAAATTGACCGGTCTGCCAAGATTGTGTAACAAGTTTAGACAGAGCCATTATCCTGTGTTTGCTTGGGATGATGAACTAAAAGGACTGCTGCCTGTCTTATTGGTAGCTCCATACAGTAGCATTAAAAAGGCATAACAGAAAACAACAAAACATTTCAAAAATGGAAAGACTGATGGATTGATAGATGGAAAGATGTGGCACATACTCCTTGTAATTATATATGGAGTGTTTTATTACCTCATTGAATCTTTTACTGACCAGCAGGACATGAACAGCTTTGTTGCTCTTATCTGGTTTCATCCAGGCTTGACTCAACAGTTCTCTGAAATACATTCATATAAAAGAAAATCAGATGATACTTATGCAAAACATCTGAAAAATGATATCAAAGGGTCTCTATTCCCAAATAATTGTTGGCAGAACTACTGTATTTCACAACACCAACTTGAGTTAGAATCAAAACAATAATCTAAAATAACATGAAGAAAACTAGTTTCATTGAAGGGAAACACAACTCCAACTTTGCAAACATGGATTGATTTCTTCATGGAACAGAAATTTGCTTATTATGAACTTTAATTTCAACAGGTTTTACATGTGTTCTTGTTGTGCTGTATAACCAGGATATTTAGGATTGAAAACTTAAAATATATTTGGTAAATATTTAAGGAAAATTTGAAGTTCAGTTAAGAAGTGTCATTGTGCTTGGAAAGTGCATTGACCAGAGTAACCAGATTCATATCGATTCATTTCCTTTGCATACAACAAATCTAATAAGGGAGATGAGAGGAACGTGGATCGGGTGACTCATATACCATTTAGGTAATTACTGGTAATTAAGATACTAAGAATCAGAAAAGGGACACACGTAATGATTCGATTAAGCATCTTCTGGCGCCTGCCAGTCTGAAGTTTTATTCGGTTGAATGCTTCATGAATGATTTAAGCTCACTAATAAAGTACATTTATGATGGAAGAAATTGATGGTACCGATTAAGTCTTGGAAGAGAGGAAATGATTGTAGTTAGTGGTGCAGCTGGAATATGAGTCATTTGAAAAGGGACTAATGAAAGTAACTTATTAGTCAGATGGTTTATGAGTCATTTTTATATGGTGTAGGACAGTATTTCAGGGGGGAGGAGCCAAAAATTGTGATGAGAATATTTTGTTTGCTGACTGAGAGAGAGAGAGAGATTCTGGGCCCCACCGTTGACTTGAGAGGTTCTCTCTGTATATTGAGAGAATGGCTCAGATGAACTAGTAACTTTAGGAGTTGTACAAGAAACCAACAAGTTCTTCCATGAGATCTGTGAATCTGTGTTGTATGTAGACCAGGAATGCTAGGCAATATCTGAGGACCTGTGTGAAAGAATTCATTCCAAAATAAATGGACTTGAACAACATACTGGACTTATCTTTGACTATCCATCTTAGCTACATCATCCCCAGAACCAGAGTGGATAGACAGATTGCCTAGGGAGGAAGGGTATAACACCCAGACACCCTCTGGGTAACAGCTGTACAAAGTGACACCAATCGGAGGATCAAAGAAATGAGAAGCTGTTAATCAAAAGAGGGGGTATATAATAAAGAGGGGCAGTTAAACTGACTTGTTTTTGGTCATTAATTTATGCATACACGGCTTTTAGTGTGAAGCGATTGGTGAAAATGGTTTAAACATATTTTTATCCCTAGAGAATCTGGTTTGGTAAACAAGCAAAACTTTGCTTATATCAATACCTCACCAGTACATATATCATTTAAACAAAATACACAAGAACTGGATGCACAAAACGACAAATTAAATTATATATGTGCGTTGTAGGTGCTTATAAACCTTGAACTTGCAGCTACACTTCATTAATTGCTTGCATATAATTGTCTAGAATAATTTATCAAATCGTTTAGACTTAAAGATGTATTCATGCAGGGAATCTATTATGTTCTTATTTACATCATTGTTTGCCGGAGGTATTCCGTATAACACAGTTTGGAGATTGTGGCCATTTACATAGAAGTAGGTATTATTTCTAATAGCAGTGTATAACTTACATGTAAAAAGATAGAGAACAGTATCTTCATTGTGGTATCCACAAGCGCGTCCAGGGTTGTTAGAAATGTGTCTATTTACTTTATCCGCATTCAAATCACTACAGCCGAGCTTAAGTCAACAGTGTACAATCTGACAGAATCGTCTGCCATAATTTAGATCTAGATAATTATTTGATTCATCATTTTTAAGCAGAGATTTGGATTCACCGATTGAGTTAGCGAATACTAAGTTATCAGGTAGTGAATTCCAAATTTTAATTGTGTCAGGTAGGAACGACTTTTCATATATTTAAGTCCTACAATTTATTGTTTGTAACTTAAATTTATTACGGAGATTATATTGACTGTTTTCAGAGACAAATTTAGGGACAAGGTCACAGAGGTAGTCAAGTGCTAGATCGTTATTCATCTCTTAAAAATTTATAAGTTTAATGTCGCTTTTTTTCTTTTAATGGTTTAGACTTGTTTGGATATATAACCTACGATGACTAAAGTACTGTCGGAAATAGAAAAAAACTGTTTTGAGGCTGTTACTCTGTATCCCTAAAATTGACACAATTGCAAATAGCATATGTCGAAATAATTCATATTGGCCTAACTGGGCGTTCAGGGGGATGCGTAATAGGATATCCAGAAAAGCATGTTTACTCGTAAAATCAGGCGAAACTTAGAAAAAATACGAAAAGCTGCTGAAAACAATAGATCAGACTATAGATGGCAATTAGGTCGCTCAGCCAGGTATGACGACGGACCGTCGACTCACTTGACATGAAATGCACGTGCTGCCCACAGACACAAGGGGTCATCTCAGATATATTTTATGCTTTTTCATGTGTATTGAATATGTCTCTATTGATATATCTAATCGTAGCTAATGACTATATATCCCCAAGCCCTACCCCAACTACTGTCAGCAACACCCATCTCGGTGTTGCTTTTGAGATGACCCCTCCTACCTGTTTCTTTTTATAGTGATAGTGAGACTCAATGGTATCGATCTCCTTAATAGTTTCAATATTAAAGTTGTTGTTTTTTACGTCTGCTATAGTTTATAATAAAACTTAGTCTAATTTCATAATGGATATTCAAAAAGTGTCATTTGTTATACAATATCATCGCACACTAATTTGCATAAAGCCATGGTCTGCTCCAAATAAGTCGCTTCAGACTTTGAAAAAAACCACATTGCTCATTTCTGCACTAATCTCTCCTCAGTAAAATACTTCTTTAACATTTCCTATCTCCCTCCCACTGAGACTGTAGTTAGGCCGAACTTAGTTTAACAGATATTTCACATTTTCACATATTAACTACCTAAATTGTAGACATAAATGTGAAAAAACAGTTTCTTTCTATTTCCGACAGTACTATAGTGCCACAAACTGCACCGCATGTTGTACTAGGTGCATCTAGATGTAACCTTTCAAGAATAAGGGACTGATCTTTTGTACAATTATCGAAGATATGACAACAATCGTCAAATATCGGCATCACAAACGATTTGTACATGGTTTCTAGCGTTTTTCTGGACAGGCGATATTTAAAACTTCGGAGACAGTTTATCATGGGGCTAACTTTCTTAACAATATCTTCAAAATGACTTTTCCATCCACAATCACTCTGTAGAGTTATACCTAAGTGTTTATGACTTTCCACTTCTCATATCAGGGTTTTGTTCATGTTCAAGGTCGGAATCGTATCATTTTTATGTTTACAAGAAAAACTGATTGTTCCGGTTTTATCAGGGTTGAAGGTAACTTGTCTGCCCAGCTAGATATATGGTTTAAATCATCGTTCAGACAGGATGCGCGTGGCAGTATCGTGATCATCTACAATTACGTAAAGTGAGGTGTCGTCAGCAAGTAAACGTATGTGGCTTTTTATACCATCTACTAAATCATTTATGTATACAATAAAAAGTAAGGGTCCCAATACGGAAACTTGTGGGACGCCAGCAAGTACAGGTTTATAATCGGAGCTGTATCCATTAATAAGGGCTTTTTGTGATCTGTTTTGTAAATAACTTTCAAAGCAATTCAAAAGTGATCCACCGATGCAATAGTTTTTAAGTTTAGAAATGATGCCCTTGTGCCATACCTTATCAAATGCCTTACTAATGTCACAAAAAACAGCTCTGACCTCTTTACCTTCATCAAGTCCTTTCGCTATAAAATCATACAAATAAGTTAATTGGTTAGTGGTGGAGTCGCTGGCATAAAACCTGATTGTAAATTGGTTAAAATATCATTGTCTCTAAAGTAATTAAATACATGTTTAAAAACACATTTTTCTAAAACTTAAGACAAACAGCTCGTAAGTGTGACTGGTCTGTAATTGGTACAATTATTTACACTGTTCTTTTTATGGAGAGGCATGACTGACGCTTCCTTCCAGATGGCTGGAAACGTGAATTTCCGAAGAGACAAGTTAGATAATTTTGTTAATAGAGGAGCTATGACTTTCAGAAATCTGTTTCCTATTACATCTTGTCCTGTAGCTTTTGATGGATTGAAAGAGAGGAGAATATCTTGAACTTCATCAAGTGTGACAACATTTAGTGAGTCTGTAGTAAGTTCAAAATGACATTGGGGAGGTCGTAAATCTGGATTTTCTATTGTAGACTGACTTACAAAGAAATCATTTAAAACATTTGCAATGTCTTGGGGGTCGTCGTAGATAATGTCATTTCATATGATTGTGGTGGAAAATAGTTACTTTCAGACTTTTTGTTAACATATTGTTTTACTAAACGCCACCATGTTTTTGTACCCACCAAGGAATTTATCCTATCATCTATTTTTGAATCACATTTTCTTTTAGAATCGCATATTAAGTTGAGAACTTTGTTTCTGACTCATCGGAAATTAGCCCAATCAGAACGACAGTTTCGATGTTTAGCTTTTTTATGAAAACGGTTTCGCTTCCGCATTGCAGAACAGATTTCGCTATTCATCCATAAGGGATCTTTAGCTCTAACATTGACCAGTCTGTTTGGTGTACTGATGTTTGATATGTACCATATTTTTGTCCGTTAGGATTTCTACTGCAGTGTCAATATTACCAGAGGAAAATATTTCTTTTTCATCAAATTCGTTAAGATGTCTTTGAAAACACTCTTTATTCATAGATTTAAAATCGTACATGACTCTTTTAATTACAGCATCAGTCTTGGTAATTTTATCTTTTTATCGTTAATCGAATTGGACAATGATCGCTGCATATGGGATCGAGTACGCCTGAGCTAAGCACGCTATTTTCATGGGTAACAAA